CTGCTGAACACTTAGCAGCTCCGAGTCAGCGGGCGACAGTCACGCCCTGCAGGTCCCAGCGTGTCCTTCTACCTGGCTGGGCCTGGGGAAAACGCCGAGCAGTGCTCAGACAGCCACGGACCTTACAGCGGCTCAGCCCAGTGACCGGCTGGTGACCGGCTCACGTCCAGCTCTCATGCTGCGTGCTTTCAGAGTGACGGCGATTATTCACGGAGCAGAGATGTGAGATGCAGCCGGTGACATGGCCTCCCATGGTGGTTGGCTGCTCAGGGGAAAATGCCTGGGGTGGCTGCAGTTGTTCCGGGTGGGCAGGGGCACAAGAGGACCCGAGGAGGACCCCCGCAGCCACCAGGGAAACTGATGGTGTCCAGGAGGGCAACGGAAGGTTACCTTGCACACACTGGCCCAAGGGTCTGGGATGCCAAGCGGTGGGGCAGTGGGAGGTGGGTGGGGAGGCAGCGGATCCAGTGAACAACTACCCGCAGCTCCTTTGACCTGTCCCAGACTAGTGCTGTCAGGGACGGTGGCCACAGGTGCGACTGGGCCCTTTAAACACGACTAGTGCAAGCCAAGCACTCAATTCCTATACGCATTTAATCAGTTGAAAATTTAAAAGATACTCAGTTCAATTACTGGAAGACTTTTAAGTATATGGGGAACAATTTGAGGATCTAAATATTTTTACCAGTGTAAATGTAATGGCATCTAAGTACAGATCAAGTATTTCTGATGAGAAATTTAATATCTGAAAGGGGCTGTTAAGTGTGAGTCTCACAGGATTCAAAGACTTGGCATACCAAGCAGAATGCAGAATGCCCCATTAATAATAATTTAGCTGTGATACTACGTTGGGTATATTGGGCTACATACATTATTAAAATGAGTCTTACCTGCTTCTTGTTGCTTTTGTCTAATGGAGCTACTAGAAAATGTAAAGCTAGGGACCAGTAGTTAGTGTAATGGCTATGTCGCTGTAGTCGACCGCTATGTAGTCGACCGCGGTTCGAGTCCCGGACCTGGTGGCTTAAAGTCACACCGGGCGTGTGTGCGTGCATGCCCGGGATCCCGAAAGGAGAGTGGAGGAGAGGGGATTGCGGCGTGGCTATCCCCCCTGGGGGGGTGATTTCTCGCTTTCTGTCTCTCTGTCTCTTTCTGTCTTTCTGGCGAGTGCACTCGCACTATAGCAAAAACCTCTCCAAAAAAAAAAAGAAGTAAAGATACATGTGTGCTTCCAGGGAACGCTCTCCTCTGGCCTCCATCCAGCCTGGCCCCTTGGGGCTGCCACATGCTGGTGAGACCAGATCAGGGGGCAGAAGCTGAAGGTGACACCCACGCCTGCCAGAGAGCAAGCGGCCGAGAGAGCTGCCCTGACAGCTAAGTCCTGGAGCAGGTAACAGACGTGACAGGTGGGTGGTCAGGTTGCGGTCAGGGTAACAACCCAGCACAATATTCCACTGCTAGAAGACCCCACTAAGCAAGTCAGGAAGAGAAGGAACTTGGGGCTACAAGGCAGACATCCCGTTTCTGCAACCAGGACTCAAAACGTGAGCTTGGGCCAGGACTGAGCTAAGCGCCCGACTGCTCCAGCTAAGTGCCAGCAGGACAGCAGTGAGCGTCCAGAGATGCGTGAAGTAGCTCCGTGCAGCTCCAGCCTCCAGGTCTCTGAAGTTCACTGCTCAGGGAACAAGGCAGGCCTGGGTCTGCATTTGTGGCCGGAGCCCCAGCTGGGAGGAAGCCACCCTTGCCAAGGCCCAGCCCCACTTCAGGCCTGAGCTACCCCTCTTCCTCCCGGTCTCCCCACAGTAGGGTCCCTGGTGCCCTGTGAGCCACGGCCCAGTGGGGCAGTCTCTGCCTCTGCTCCCAGTTACGCAGCCCTGGATAGAACGGAACCAGAGGGCCATGACTCTGGGCTGAAGGCATCAGGCAAGTCCGTGTGGAATCCTGGTCGTCCACCTGCCTTGGGCCACCTCTTCCTGACCGGCCACCCAAGTGGCAGGCCGCCCAGGCCAGATTCCAAGCAGTGCCCAATCCTTGATCCAGTCACACACAAAACCAGGTCAGAATAGGTCATGCAGCCCTCGGGTTCCTCTGCTCCTCAGCGCTGGCTGTGCGTCACACAAACAGGACAAAGTCCAGCCTCCTGACCACAGGGCATGAGCCCGGCAGCGGCACTCCGCTCCTTCCCGGCACCAACTGCTTTGGCAATCTTAGCCTTCCCCAGGAGGCTGCGTCCTTGTTCTGCCAAGGGCAGAATTGTTCAGATCACAGGTCTGGGGGCTCCGACCCTGGGCCTCTTTGAAGGTTTGCTTAAGTGTTTGATGTGACAACCTAGGGGTTCTTTGGGGCAGTAAGCTCTGGGGGAGGAAGGAAACTGCAGCGCAGGTATTCCGAAGGGCTCTCCGAGACTCGTTAAGGGTGCCTGGGCCGCAGTTAAACACGGTGTGTGTACACGTGGCTGTGCACCCAGATGAACGCTATCTTTATACAAACGCTCTTTCAATATTTACTTACGCTTTTCACCTATGTGTTTTCGAGTCCCAGCCAGCAGGGCTGTGGCGATGTCACCCAGGGCAGAGGATGGGAGACTTCCAGGGCCCAGACTGTTCCAGAAGCTTCCACCGTTTGCCTAGATCAAGATCTCCCAAGGGAGGGCCCCCACAAGAAACAGCATATGAAAATGAGGGGTGCGATACACACTTTCGTAAGAGGCCGGTGAGGTACTTTTTGGCTTTATTAGCTATAAACAATGATCAGTTCAAGCCGGAAGTGGCATGGTCACTGCCCTTTTAGAAAGATTAGTGCCCAAGAGCCCAGACTGTGGCCAGATGGAGGCCTCCGGGGACCTCTGGCCTAATCTGTGTGAGGCACCAACCTCACACAGGCCGACCCAGCCTTCGCAGCTCCTTAAGAGTCCTTCTGGGAAGAGACCTACCGTCGAGAGCATCTCTGCTGGTTCCAGCCTTTCTGTCTGCTAGAAAACAGTAAAGAGGCCATCTCTACGGGGACGGAGCTATGGCAGACACATCGCAGGAAGCTGAGATGGAACTCGACCCTGCTTATCCATTGGAAAGCAGAACCCAAATCTCAATAAACAAAGACCTGCTCTCAGGACCAGCAGTTGGCATAATGGCTACATTGCTGGATTCTCATGTAGTCAGCTGTGGTTCGAGCCCCAGACCCGGTGGCTTAAACTCATGCTGGGCGCATGTGTGTGCGTGCCCAAGATCCCAAGAGGAGAATGGAGGAGAAGGGATTGTGGCGTGGCCATCCCCCCAGGGGGCTGGAATATTTAAGAGAAGATATAATGAAATAAAGAAGTCAGGCTCTGAGAACTGCTATAAAGAAAACAATCATAGTAATAAAACGGAGATCACAGATTTGGAAGCTATTTGAGGAAGAAGCCAATCTGTGCAGGCAATATCTTAGAGGAGACCAGAGGATCAAAAAGAGCCAGAGTGTTGCTGAAAGGGACAAGATACATGTACGGCCCTAAACTAGGAAACTAGAGAAAATCGAGAATTCCCTTTTGGAAATAATAAATTTAACAAGATTATGAAATATCCAAGTGAGAATGTTGTGAGCTGTTGGATAAAAGATCTGGAGTTCAATGAACAGATCTGTGCTTGATATAGATGTCTGTGTGTCACTACCACATAGACTATTTAAAAACTTGGAGCAGGACGAGATAGTGAACATATGAGGAATGATACAGTCCAGAATTTAGTGATTAATTGTGGAAAAGAAGCAGTAGAAAGAGTTTGTCAAGTAACAGCCAGTAGAGAAAAGAAAACCATGAGAGATAAGGAATAGGAACGTTTCAAGAAGGAAGGAGTGAATGACTTTGAGAAAAGTTACCGTTAGTTAAAGTCTAAGACACAAGTAGAAAAAAAGAAATGTCATTGGATTAGTCCTGGTGAGTTTGAGGCCCTATTGAAGTCAGTTAGAGGATAAATTTAAGCTTCCGTTTCTAATAGAACAGAGGTCTGGATTCCTGCCTGACCTCCGTAAAACAACTTTCAGAAATCAGAGAGAGATGTAAAAAAAAAAAAAAAAAAAAAAAAAAAAAAGACCTGCTCTCTGCAATTAGTCCAAGAAATACTGATGGTAGTGAACAAATAATGTGCAGACCACCCTGGAGGCCAGAGGTGGCATAATCAAATGCCCGCCTGGGCCGGCTCCAGGCAGGCATCGTATGTGAGTGAAGTGCAGTGGGGGAAGCTATTTTTTTTTTTTTTTTTTTTTTTATGTAGAATCTCCCAAGTTTCAAATACTGGCAACAAGTACAAAAGGCTTTGTTAGTGTGTGTGTGTGTGTGTGTGTGCGCGTGTGTCAGAGGGGAGAGAGGGGAGAATTACAGCAAACTGAAGATGATGACATGCCTGATCTTCCATCCTGACCAGAGAGGGACAGAACTAGAGAGAAGAGGAGAAAAGTGAGAAGGCAAGCTGCCAGGTCCGGAACTCGAACCATAGTTGTCCATATGGGAGTCCAGCGTCCTTACCACCATGCCACCTGCCAGCCCCTAGTTTGTTTTTCTTAAAGACAGGGTGTCTAGGTTAGCCCAGGTTGGCCTGGAACTCACGATCTTCCTGCCTCTGCAGTTCAAGTAGCTGGGATTACAGGTGCAGGCTACCACATCCAACTTCAAATACAAGATGTTTTTAAACCTGGTAACGTCTTATTTATTATTTATTTGCCGGAGAGTATGTGCACTTTCCAGAGACAGAGAGACAGGCAGAGGGAGAGGGAGAAAGCACCCCAAATGGGGAATGGTCATGCCTCAATCCCTTCTCCATTTCTCCATCTGGTAGGGATTTGGGGCATGCACATGTGTCCAGCCTTTTTTCAAGTTGCTGTGGCTAGCTCCCAACTGCACAGCTGGTCATGTGGGATCTGGCTCCTTTAACCACTAGGCCATAGGACTGGCCCCAAAGCTTGTAACTTCTACCGTAGACAAATTCTTAACTTAAAAGGAAGTTCCCACCCTCAACTAAATTAGCAATCTTCCATTATATAAAGAAATTAATAGGAAAAATATAGCAGCTTCAAGATCAGTAAATCGATTAATCAAAATTCACCGAGTTCCTTCTCACGTGGACAAAGACCTACCAGGCCCATCTATTGATGAGACAGCTCTGCATCATTAAAATGATGCTGCTGCCAACCTACCCAAATGAAGATGTCACCCTGCTTGTCCTCACACTGTCCCCATGAAGCTGGGAAGGGACAGGGTGAGGCTCCCTATCATAGAGAAGAAACTGAGGCCCAGAGCAGGGAGGGCCCCTCCGTAACATCCTAGAGTCTCTCTAGGGGTATTGTATTCACAGTTTGGCACCAGGATCGAGAGAGCCGAAGTCGCTAGTGGGAGTCACGCAGCACCTGGCAGCCAGTCACAGGCACCACTGTGTCTGCGGAGCGAACCGAGCACGAGCGTGAGGACTTAGCCCCTGCTCGGCCAGGGTCTCCCACTAGGGAGAGTGGAGCTGCCTTTGCCATTTCAGACTTTGGCTCTCTCCAGGGACAGGCATGGAGAGAGGGGAGGCAGAGTTCCCTGCGAGTGAATGATGGCCTTCCCAGCCCTGCAGGGAACAGCTTCAATCCCATGTGACTCAGACCTAGAGGAAAGGATTCAAGAACCTCTGGCCTTTGTCTGCCTTGACCTTGGGCGAGGACCCGAGACCCAGAGCAAGCCCCCTGGCTGCCTGGTGTCAAGGGCAGCTCCCACACTCCGATCCTCCAAGGACTTGGCACAGAAAGTCAATGGCAATGTGAGGAAGAAAGAGGCCCTTCCTCCACACGGGGGTGAACAGCTGTCTCTGTCCTGACCGTGCAGCACGTGGGCTACCGTGGCTCTGGCCAACAGGCCCCTGGGGCAACAGCGTGCTCTTTATTCTGGTCTGCTGGGAGTCAAAGTACCAGGACACCTGACTCTCTGCACTGTGGCTTCTTCCTAGAACTTGACAAGAAGAAGAGATTGAAGGTGTCAGGATTGACATTTTGAGTGAACTAATTCTTCACTATATTACAAGAGGCCCACGTAATATTCAGCCACAGGAACCCCAGAATGCACACATGCACATTTCTAAGGCTGCCTGCGGGGCAGGTTAAAGCCACTGAGCTGGCAGCCCCCCTCTCGCAGTTGTGAAACAGAAGCCCCAGAGACAGTGACACATCCAAGGCCACACCCCAGATTGAATGACTTCTGACCCAGAGTTCTTTCCAGCTGCACACCCCATGGGACACCACAGCACTGCACAGTCTCAAAGCAGAGCCAGAGGTCCCCATGGCATAGAGAAACCAAGGCACGGAGAGGCACAAGAGCTTCAGCGCGACCCTGGAGCCAGCCGCTGTGAGGTCGGGAGCTGGGTCCCAGGCCACACATTTCCTAGGTTCTGCCTGCTTAGTGAGTCCCACTGCCTGAGAGACAACCGTGGATGTGGCCGTCCCCAGCAGTTGGGATCTTTGAAGTTCCCACCAGTCCAGGTCTTTGTGGAGACACGTGAGCACAGCAAGGAGCCGGGCATGGAGGGTTAGCGCCAGTGACAGCTCGAGGTTCCGGCCTTCATCTCAAGTCACCGGCAGGCTCAGCAGGAGCATGGATGACTCCATCGCAGGCTTTTGGTCCCTTTCCAAGGTCCTCACAGTCTCCATTGGGAAATATGGCCGTCAGGGCCAGCTCCTCCTCAGGGTCCTGGAAGTTATCTGGAACACAGGAGAAGGAATGGCCCAATGAGAAGAAGAGTCCATGAGTCAGTAAGCTAGGAATGGAAGGAAGGAAGTTGGCTCCCAGGGAATATCTACTTCACAAACTAAACAAGATACATATCAACCCCTAAAAAATGTGCATACCCTGTGACCCAGAAATTCCACTTCTAGGATTTTATCCTGAGGAAATAATTAGGAATCATTAGTGGAACCACTGCAGCCAACCTGCAACCAGCCTAAGATCAAAACCAACATGGAGGATGGCCCAGCAGGGGTAGGGGAAGAACCTGGCTACCTGGTGAGCTTTTTGGGAAAGAACCTGGCTACTTGGTGAGATCACTGAGCCCCTAACTGAAGTCAAGCAGACTGCAGCTCTGCACTGTTTTAGTGAGCTAGAGAATTCCCTTACCGTTGGCTAGTTTGAGTCATTGTTTCGTTACCTGTAACTGAAAGCATCATTATAAAGTCAATGTCCAACAAAAGGTCTGGGGGAGTGAATTCTGGCTTACACCACAGTGGGATTCAGGCATTAAAAATTAGATTGTATAACATCCCATAGAACTACACACACAGGAACCTGCAGTTAGCGTAATGGCTATGTCGCTGGTCTCCCATATAGTCGACCGCAGTTCGAGTCCTGGACCTGGTGGCTTAAACTCACACCAGGCGTGTGTGTGTGTGTGCCCAAGATCCCGAGAAGAGAATGGAGGAGAAGGGATTGTGGCGTGGCCATCCCCCTTGGGGGGTGATTTCTCGCTTTCTGTCTCTATGTCTCATTCACACACTAAAACTGGGAAAACCCAACTGAAACGTGGTTTCAATGTCGTATTGTCATATTGCACGATTGTTTTGCAAGAAACTGAGCAAAGTCTACATGGTATTTTCTGTGTGATTTTTTAGAACTGCATGTTAATCTCCAATGACCCCAAACGAACCAAAAACGATAAATGATGTTGGCACAGTTATTGCTGTGTCATGATGTTATTGAGGAAGGAAGCAGATTCCCAAACAGTGGGCATACATGTATGTAAGTGTACTCTCCGATATTTATGACATATACTCTATTAAGAGGCCATAAATCCCTTTTAATATATGTGCTTCTACATGAGATTTGTTATATACTGCAGACAGGATTATAATAGAAATGATAACATTTTTGTGATTAAACACTTCAAGAAACCATGTTTCTGCATGTGTCTACAGGTCACCATGTTTGCTCTGACTGGACGTTCTTCTCACTGCATTTTGCAGATTATATATATATGTTATATATATATATGTATTATGTATGTGTGAATTTATTAAAATTTCAATAGCGCAAGGAGAGAGAAAGAAAGAGACAGACAGACCAATAGAACACTCATCCCAAAATATTGATTGTGGTTACTTTTGGGAGATAGAATGAAATGGATTATTTTTCTTACTTCTTTGTATTTTTTTGAGCTTTCAACTACGAAAGGCAGTTTTTTTTCTTTTTTAGAGAGTTTTTTTGCTATAGTGTGCATGTGCTTGCTGGAGAGACAGAGAAGAGAGACAGAAAGTGTAAAATCTCCCCCCCAGGGGGATGGCCATGCCACAGTCCATTCTCCTCCATTCTCCTCTCTGGGTTTTGGGCATGCACATGTGCCTAGTGTGAGTTTTAAGCCACTGGGTCTGGGACTTTAACTGCAGTTGGCCATGTGGGAGTCCAGCCATGTAACCATTAACCATCTGCTGGTCCCATGGCAGAATTCTAAGACAGCTGTCAAGAATCTGGCGCCTTGAGTGTACTGAGCCTGTATAGCGTCCTCTTTGAGAGTGGGTGGGCTCTGTGGATATGACCGCATGGCCACTCCCTTGATAAAGTCCCTTATGTGACAAGGGTGATCGCTCGTTACTCTCATGAATACCTTACACTAGGAGAGGCTCCCTCTTGGTGGGCCTGAGAGAGTCCCCTGGTCACTGAAGGATAGTGAGGAGAGGGTGTAGGAGAGGAGGAGACTGCAGGGGCCCTTTTGCCCTGACTGCAGCCCTAGCTGACAGCCAGAAAGAGGCCAGGGACTGGACCAGTGCAGGGCACACAGCCAAGCAAGGCTCTGCAGTGCTGAAGCCATATGGATGTCCTGGGTTTGCACCCTGAGGTCTCCCTGTGCGCGCCAGGTTGTCTGCCTGTGCTCCTGGCTGGCTGAGACTGTGGCGAATCACAGATGACCCGCTCGGGCTCTCTTTCTCTCTAGAAGGAATAAATAGATAAACTTAAAAAGAAAAAAGTCAGGGACCTAACAAATACATATATGTGTGTGTGTGTGTGTGTGTATTTTTTTTTTTTGGAGAGGGTTTTTTGCTATGAGGGGTGTGCACTCACCAGAAAGACAGAGAGAGACAGAGAGACAGAAAGCCAGAAATCGCCCCACAGGGGGTGATGGCCACGCTGCAATCCCTTCTCCTCCATTCTCCTCTCGGATCTTGGGCACGCACGCACAAGCGCCTGGTGTGAGTTTAAGCCACTGGATCCGGGGCTCAAATCATGGTTGACTACATGGGAGTCCAGCGACATAGCCATTATAACAACTGCTGGTCTCACACACTGCTTTAAGTTGCTAAGTTTGTGGCAGTTTGTTACACACCACAGAAGGCTGACACATCAACTGATTTTTCTTTTTAATTTGCCAGAGGGTACATGTACTTGCCAGAGACAGAGACAGACAGACAGAAAGCAGCCCCATGCATCACAGTCACACCTCCGTCCCTTCTCTTCCATCTCTTCCTCCTTCCAGGATTTAGGGCACTCAGGGACATGCCCAGTGTTTTTTGGTTTCATTTTAAGAGATTTTTGCTATAGGGTACATGCGTGCGCCAGAGAGACAAAAAGCAAGAAATCACCCGCCCCGGGGAAGATGACCACGCTGCAATCCCTTCTCCTCCATTCTCCTCTCAGGATATTGGGCACACATGCACATATACCTGGTGTGAGTTTCAAGCCCCCAGGTCCAGGACTTGAACTGTGGTCCACTACATGAGAGTCTAATGTCTCAACCACTATGACACCGCTGGGCCCATGGTGTGTTTTTCAAGTTGATGAGTCCAGGACTCAAACTGCATAGTCAGCTATGTGGGATCCATTTGCCTTAATCACCATAGTACAGGTTGGCAGCCTTAAAGACAATTTTTTTAAGTTTTTGCTATAGGGTACATGCAGTTGCCAGAGACAGAGTGACAGAGAGAGAGAAAGAGAGAGAGAAAGAAAGTGAGAAATCACCCCCACAGGGGGATGGCCATGCTGCAGTCCCTTCTCCTCCATGATTTTGGGCACGCACATGCACCTGGTATGATGTTCAAGCTGCCAGGTTGAGACTCAGGCTGCGGAGTGGGCTATGTGGGATCAGCCACCTTAAATGCCAGCCACCTGCTGGTCCCAATTTTTTAAAAATAAGGAACATAATAAAAGTTGATCGTTTTCCCTTTTATCTTTTTTTAATTTGGTATAGGAGGAGCGCACTCACCCGAGACAGAGCCTGGCCACTCCACAACACTTTCTCCTCTTGCAGTTTTGGGCAGAGGAGTGCACACACATGCCCAGTGTGTTTTTAAAGCCCCCTCTGGGACTCAAACTGCACAGTCAGCCATGTGGGATCTGGCTGACCCAACCACCATGCCATGGGCTGGCCTAGAGGTTGATTTTAAATGTCTGCCCTTGTCAGAGCTATATTTGCAGTAGCTTTCGGGTGGGGCGTGCCCACTCAGCAGCTGTGCCCTGCTCCCCAAGGACTTCCTGTCCACCTAGGGCAGCCTCAGCACCTAGGCCTGTCTTTCCCTGTTCTCCTCACTCCCATTCAGTAGCCTGAAGGGTCCCCTGGAAATGGCTCAGCTTAAATTCCCTCCTCTCCGTTCTCCCTGCCTAGGTTGGGTCTAGGCCCTCCACACCCCCTCTCAGGACTCCTGCGGTCTTCTCCCAGCTGGACCCTGTCTCTGGTCTCCCCCTGCACCTCGCTACACACCCCCTGGCCTCCACACTCTGGTCAGAATTCACCAGTGCCTCATGACTGCCGAAGGACTCGTGTCAGGCCCCCTGTGGCCCCAGCACTGCTCTTCGGCCTCAGCCCTCCTCTTTTTTCTCTGTACCTCACTCCCAGGACACTCCTGAGCGTGGTCCCTTTCCGGAGCGAGACACAGTGCTGTCAAGCCTCTTGCAGGTGGTCCCTCTCTCCTCTCTCTTCTCCACTTCTCTCTTCCCATTTCTGTCTAGGGAAATCCCTCCCCACTCTCAGGATCCTCAGGTGAGACTGACTGCATTTGGCCCCAAACACCAGACTATGTGGATGGTGACCCCTGGGTTACAACCCTCCCCACACTCCTTCATTAGGCAGGGAGTTTGGGGGCAAGAGCCCCATCTGACCACACTGTGTGCCCACTGCCTGGAGGTACCAGTGCCTTGCATTGCTCACTCGGTGCCTGGCACATTGTGGATGCTGGTTCTCTGTCCCTAAGATCCCACGTCCCTGTGGCCACTCCCATAATCCCATGTACTGGCCCTCAGGGTGTAAGAGGTCCAGCGGGAGAAGCACTCACCCTGAGCTGGGCCACTGGACAAGGTGGCATCTTGGTTCTTTCTCCGGCTCCAGGCACTCCAGGAAAAGCAGGCCAGCAGTCCCGGAAGTCCCTGTCTCTCCCAGGCTCCTTCCTCTAGCAAGAACACAAAGCCCAGAGACAGAGGTTCAGCTGCTTTCTGCTTTGCAAGGTTGAGAGATTTTTCTGTTTAGCAAAACAAGAGCTTCAACAGTCAACTGCCCTAATTTCAGTTCTCTGCTTAAAAAAAGAAAAAAAAAAAAAGATTCTGGGGCCAACAGGTGGCATGGTAGTTAAGACGCTGGATTCTGACATGGCCGACTGCAGTTCGAGTCCTAGACCTGGTGGCTTGAAAATCATACCAGGTGCATGTGCATGCATGCCCCAAATCCTGAAAGAAAGGAGGAGGGATTGTGGCATGACCATCCACCTCATAAGGTGATCTCTCACTTTCCCTCTCTCCGTCTCTCTCTAGGGAGCGCATGAGCTCCATGGCAAAAATAAAATAAAATAAAATAATAAATAAATAAATCTGATCTGCAAAAGTAGATGGGCTTTTGCACTTTAATACCCTCAAATAATTGTTTTATCTATATTATTACAGAAATTCTATGATATAAGGAATGACAGTACCAAGTGGCATGAAATTAGTTATGTAGCACCAAAGAGAATACTCAAAGAGCAGTAATCTCTCCCTGACCTCTAGTTCAGACTATTTAACAGAAACACATTTCACCTTTTCTGATAATCACAGAAAATCAACACGAACTAAGTTCTAACCAAGCCTTCCGGCAGGCACAAGGGAAACCCTCATTCATGTTTACTCGCGGTCTATTTACTCCTCCTTTACACCAGTTCTAAAAAGGACTGGACCCTTAGTTTTGCGACCCGAAGGCAGCCGGATTAGACAACATGAACTGGGTAAAAGGGCACTGTCAAAAGACAAGCAACCCAGAAAAGGACGGGTCACGAGGCAGCGAGGGAGTGATGGGAAAACCGAAACGCCAGCCGCAAGCACGCAAACCGCCTAGTGATACAGAGCCATCGGTTTAAGGGTAATATTAGGGGACTTCAAAAAGTTCATTGGAAAAGTGGACTTAACATGGAAGCTTATTTTGGCGCCAAAAGAAAATGAACCCCATACACCGTTTTTATTGTAACACACATTTTCTTTTTTTTGAGAGGTTTTTTTCACTATAGGGCGTGTGCGCTCGCCAGACAGACAGAGAGAGACATAGAGACAGAAAGCGAGAAATCACCCCCCAGGGGGGATGGTCACGCCGCAATCCCTTCTCCTCCATTCTCCTCTCGGGATCTTGGGCACGCATGCACACGCGCCTGGCGTGAGTTTTAAGCCACCAGGTCCAGGACGCGAACCGCGGTCGACTACGTGGGAGTCCAGCGACATAGCCATTACGCTAACTGCTGGTTCCCAGTGGGGAGTTTTGAATGGAGTAAGATCTCAGAAATTATATGTTGATTTCAACAGTTGTACACTTCATTTTATATTATGCCAACTGCTGGTTCCTCATATATGTTTTTTTTTTTTGAGAGATTTTCACTGTAGGGCGCGTGCGCTCGCCAGACAGACAGAGAGAGACATAGAGACAGAAAGCGAGAAATCACCCCCCAGTGGGGATGGTCACGCCGCAATCCCTTCTCCTCCATT